CCCTAGTTTTGGGTTCGATCGAGAAGATATCTCAAGCACGCGGTGTCTTTCCACATTTCCAAACAATTCGAAGTTCGTTTTAAATATTCCGCTGCGCGTCGTATTTTCAGCTCTCTCGGTATGGTGTTTGGATTTGTGGTAAAACATGGGCCGATTATTTAAACGAAGTCGAAGTTAATCATTGTTTAGGGCTGAGCCGCGGTTTAGACGTTGTCTCGATAAACAACGGCTAAACGATGTTTAAAATTCATTATTGAAACGCGACTGAACCGTGTTTTCTCGAGTCAATAGCTAAACCATGTCTTACGAGGAAATGCATTGTCTGCGGAGTTATTTCGTATCAAATTTCCGGATAGTGGTAATATCTCTGAAACATGGCGTCTAAAACAAGACCCACAGCAAATTTCAGCGAACAAGAAAACCTTTTATTGGCTGAATTGGGTAGAGACTATGACAGTGAAACCGCGTTGACAAAAAAGGCAAAGGCATGGGATGAAATTTTAACTAAATTTAACTCCGAAAATCCTAACGGTATCAAACGCAACCTCAGTCAGCTTCCTGGATGCTGGAGGCGGCTGAAACTCCAGTCGAAAAAGAGCATGACTTACATCGTCGTGAAGCAAGAAAAACTAGTGAAGGTAAAGCTCCTGCCTCTCCAAGTGCAAATTAGTAGCGGACGTAATCCCAGCCTCAGTTAGTCCTCTAGAGCAGGAGAAGAACTTGGTTTAAGGCGGGACAAAAACGAGAGGGAAGTTATTACATGCGAAGTGCAATTTAGTCTACTCGTTTAAAACAGGAGGATAGTCAGAAGTACATTAATTTTCAGTCGCTTCTAAAAATTGTGTTTTAGAATCACCGATAACCCTTTGGAAAGTTCCCGTCGCATAGAATCTTAAGGCAATTAGCACTTGCTGCATTGGTGTAAGCGGCACACCTCTCCTTGTCTGATGTTGAAGATCTTTATCCAAAATTTTTACGAGGTCACTGACCGAGTCTTTCTTAGGCGAAAACGCAATCGAAAGTCTTCGTCGTCGTATTCTTCCAATGGGTTAAACCTATCCCTGAGGTGCCAAATTTGTCGGATGTGTATATTACGTCGATTGGCGTAGTTTCTTAACTATCTGTAGCGCAGAGGTCCCTCCATTTCAAAATGGCTGAATATGAAAATATCGTTAAACAGCGTTTAAATCTAACTTTGATCAGCTCTAACTTACTATTGTTCCTTAGTCGGTGTCTAGACACTGTTTAGACACTGTCTAAACACTGTAGTAGAAAAACATCGTTTAAATAATCGGTACTCATGGTTTAAATATGGGTTAGACGCCGACTTCCATAAACGTTGTCTAAACTTCGTTTAAATAATCGGCCCATAGTCTCTAAAATTACATAAAACCCTCCTTTTGCAACACTGAGGTTGAAGTAGAAATCCTTAGCATAATGCTATTGATTTCTACTTCAACCTCAGTGTTACCACTTCCAAGGCTTCACACTCTTCTTGTGACAGAGCAAGACGTGTGCTTTTGCTTTCAATGGGTAGTGTTTCCACTGGAGTTGATGCTGTAGATGTGCTTGGCATGATACAATCCACGCTAGTATCGATCGATGACTCCATTACTGACTGTTCGACTGCACTACTGTTCGACTCAACAACTGATTCTTCGAGCACTTCCGCGGCTTTCTGCATTTTTAGAAATCCCATCATTGTTGTTTGCTGCATCGGTCTTTTTGTTGGGCGTGAGTCGGCCATTTTCAACGTTTGCAGTACAAATAACGAATGAATTAACTCAGTACGTAATCGAGATGTATGCTGGGTGTATGCTGGGTTTGGCTTGTGATTGCGGGCGCATGTATATGCAAAGCAATATGGCGGTTTGTTGGCGAGGTGAACACGAACCAGCGAGGGATCGAAACAGACGTTAACCAGCAAGAAAATGTAAAGGCTAATTTTATTGTGCAATGCAAAAATGGCTTAGAGGGAAGTTGTCCCTTTTGATGGCAGACATTTTTATTTATTTTCATTACTCTTTACAACTTAAACACAGATTATTTCACGAAAAGTAGGCGGCTCAGAAATCGAAGTAGCCGGTTCTTGAGCCGGCGGCCGGCACTTATTGAGAACTCTGCCGCATTCAATAAAACCCGAATTGAACGCCACACGTTTTTCATATTTACAGTCTCGGGTTGTTGGTCAAGCTCCACATGAAAAAAACTTTCACATATTTTACCAAATACTTCGTGGCTGCACAGAAGAGGAAAGAGGTAAATTATCACTTATGCCGGCTCTCGGTAATAGATTACTAGAGGAAATAGATGTAAGCTGTTAAGTTATAAGCTGAATAGATGTATGTTTATATTTTGGTAGTTTCGGTACAGAGCCAACTGTACACATTTCAGAGTAAATAACAGAATGGTTTCACAGCTGGTAAATGCAAAATGTGGTCCTTAAATGGGTAGAGAGCCACCCCTTAATTAGCCTGCGAACGCAGACGTATTTCCGGCTGTCACTTGGTTCCACCGAAAAATAACGTCTGCGAACCCCAGCCAGGAAACGATTTCTGTGACGTAGGAATTCTAAGCCAATCACAGTTTAGCTCAAATAACCCCAGAACTACTGCGCGAGGTATTCGCTGCGAGGAGCACTCGAGTTTCATTCTATCATGGAATCTGATTGGCCAAGGAGAAACAAAAGTCACTACGTCACAGAAATCGTTTCCTGGCTCGGGTTCGCAGACGTTATTTTTCGGCGGAACCAAGTGACAGCCGGAAATACGTCTGCGTTCGATCGCAGGCTACCCCTTAATAAGCTTTAATTTAAAATAATCTAAAACCGAATATAAAACTTCCTATTCTAGGCCTATTACATAATTACGTAAGTTATTCTTATTTTTTATATTTTTACTATCCTTCAGTGACGAACTCGCCTACGTTCAGGAAACTTTAAACTTTAAAGCGATTCGTTCACTATTGTTTAATTTCTGAGGGACGTTTATATAATCATGTTTTACATTTTCTGCTTTCTTCAGGACATTTTGGCCTTAAGGGAAAAGTAGAGGATTATTACTACTTAAATCAAAATGATGTGCACGTGACTGATGACAAAGATGACAGGAAATACTACATGGCAACGAAAGTAAGTGATATGCTAGTTGTGTTTAATTGATTTTAATTTATCTCCTTATATTTTCAGTAATTGAAATATGATCACCCATTTGTAGCTAAAATAATTGAAGGTTTTCTAATGAGACCCTCGTACAAGTTAGATAAGGAAAATCGCGTTCGGGCAATCTCAAAATACGCATAATCCGAAGAACCCAGCGTAATTCCCAAGCAAAAATTATGCAACTCGTAGCATGCATAGTAACAAGCTCGTGAACTAACTCATCATGTTAATGTAAATGTAAAATTTATTTACAGTGGTAATGTACTAAGCTATACAAGCACTAAGCTTAGCTAGTTTACAGGCATGCCACTGAAACAAACGAAACAAATATTTCAAATAAACGTAACATAGTTAAAAATCCCAACTGACAGGAGGTAGACCAGTTGGCTATTTACAAAGCGTGACCGAGGATATCATAATTGTAACTTTATTCCTGATTGAAGAAAACTCGTAATTTATCGCCATGGTCAGTTGAAATCGCCTTTGCAGCTTGCTTTGCGGTAAACATGGGAATTAGATTAAACTGGACTATCCATCCCATGGAGTATTTACAGATCCCAGGGATAGTTTCATCCACTAATCAACAAACAAAAGAAAATTAATCATTCGAAATTCAGAGTACCCAGATGGTCGAATGCACCAGATCTGTGCTCCTTCTAACCCTTTAATCAGTCGAACGAAACGACTGAAAAAATCTCCAATCCACAGCAAATACAAAATAATAATCCCATTTTAACGTACAAACGGGGATAAGACGAAAGGCAAAAGCTGAATTTTTGCCATTTACCGTAAAGTCAGTCTAACCTCGCTTGCTAAAGAAACCCGTAACGTCAGGACTAAAACAAAGTTATACGTTACAACTGAATAACATATGATTCAAGAAGTAAAAGTGAAGGGAAAGTCCTCTTCATTGTTCACATGCACAGTAAGATAAATATATAAGATACGAAAAATTGAGGAGAAAAATTAAAGTACGAAGAAGGGACGAAAGACAGAGAAAACAAATTTTGTATTTATTTGACTTCGCTTATTTATTTAAACTTCTTTTTTTAGAACGCAATGAACGTCGTTGGTCTGGACGCTGTCAAACAAAACACAGTATTCCAGCTCCTGTCCGCCATATTACATCTTGGCAACATTGAGTTTGAAGAAAATAGGAATGTAGCATTTCCAGCTAATGAGAAGTGTAAGAAAAAATTATATCATAAGCCGTGGTAAACTATTGACTGATTGGGCAACAATAAGCACTGAGTCAAATTGC